TATTATATGGACACAAAGCTGAAAGTATGAACCAGGTGGCTTCCAGAAACCTGTTACTTTGAGGCTTAGATACAGCACTGGATGATACCGGTCTGCCTGTTTCCACTTCCAAGCAGTGTTAAAGGGGAGTCCTAACAGGTAAGGTGCCAGGATCTTTTTAAACTTCTGGAATAAATGTGCTACAAACTGTGGAGAGAGCACCAAGGGACAAGTAAGATGTCTAGCGCATGCCATAAACTTATGTGAAGATGTTCCGGACTCTCCTCCTCCTCATCAAGAGGAAACATATGGGAAGAACTGAGAGTTTTAACAGTAGTTGGCTGTTCTGTCACAATAATTTATTGGAAAAGGACTTGGCTACACCAAAAGGAAAGTGTCAGAATCTTGGCATCTGGACCAAAGAGCAATAGCACGTTTGGTGCTCTCCTGAGGCATATATTTTTAGTCAGAAGCAACAGTGCATGAAATGTTCAACTGCCTGTGAAATCCTGAAGTGTTTTGGAATAGCAAATGTGACTACAAACACTCTGCGTGGACAGTTACGTATTTTTGTGCTGTTCCATCAAGTATTACCATATATGGCTAGAGCCTGGATTGTCTAGATTTGTCATGTCTGAAGCAAAAAGAGGAAGCTGCCTGGTGAGCCCAAACATGCTATTCTGATATTCTGGAGGGGATGAATCCTTCCAGTAGCTGTGGGTACAAATATATCTCATCTAAACAAGACGATCCAAAGTAAAAGCGCCACCTGCTTGCTCAAATAGGCTGCTAAGAATTGGGTGAACTTTTCACCCTGGTACAAATCCTAAATCTGATGCTTTGATTTTACCTTAATTTTCAGGGTTTGCCTTTAGGCAAATTATAGCTTGCTTTTCCCTGAAACTTTGACTACTGGCCTCTTGAGCCCTATCTTCATGGGGGTTACATGCTGGCCCCATTACAAACAGAACTCAGTACTACCTACATTTGTCATTTGCCTGGTTTTAATGTACTTTATAAATCTTACGTAGACAAAAATATTAAAGGGCTCAAAGAAGACGCGCAGAAGGCAATACAGGGCAACTGATCACAAGCCAGCGTGGTGCGCTGTGATGAAACTACCTAAACAGGGAACATTTCTTTCACTGTCAGATGTGTACAGTTAAGACAATTGTCATTAAATAGGTGCATTTGTAGTGTCAGATTCTGATATTACAACTCATCTAGGGCTGTAAGTTTAATCTGAGACCCCACTAGTATTTCAACTTACAGTAGCGTATGTGCAGAGATATTTAATTATGTAGACCACAAGGGGCAACAAACTGCTGAACTACATTTGGAGAAAGGTGGTTTTTTGCAGGACTAGTGGGAGCAGCATTGTTTGGGGGAGAGAAAACCAAGGACATCCGCACTGAACACAAAATTACTTACCTGGGCCCGGTGTCAAAGCACTGAAAGTGAGGGGTGAGTTCTTTAACAAGCATCCACTATTGCTGGTGTGAGAGACCAATGCTGTATTGCTAAAATTCCCAAACTTGCCATGGCTTCCAGGAGTTTGAAAGCATTTGTTTATATCCCTGGCTGTTTTCATACTGTCAGCAAATGGCATGATTTGTAAGGTCAATTTTGCTTTTTTCTACTTCTGATTCTTTAGTAGCTACTCTTAAAACAACGTTTTATAATTACAAAGCTTGAAATGTTTCAGAGTAGCAGCTGTGTTAGTCTGTACCTGCAAAAAGAAAAAGGAGGACTTGTGGCACCTTAGAGACAAATTTATTTGAGCATAAGCTTTCGTGAGCTACAGCTCACTTAGCTGTAGCTCACAAAAGCTTATGCTCAAATAAATGTGTTAGTCTCTAAGGTGCCACAAGTCCTCCTTTTCTTAAAGCTTGAAATGCAAACTTTCAGATCATGGAAGGCATTACTTTTTAACTAGTCAGTCACTAATGTTGATGACTGGTGCAGAGGTATTTAAATTGAAGAGTAATGTGCTTTCTAAAGTACCGGTCTTGAACTAGTGATCAGAAGTATTAGGTGGTTATGTCATGGTGATGTGTGGTATGTTTTTAATGCAAGTGTTAATGAGCTACTGTCAGTGAACTCTAGTCTTGGCAAGTAGTCCCCAATATAAATAGTACACTAATCTATTTGGAGATGGAGAATTATATCAATTTCATGTGTCTAAACTCTTCACTAGCACTTACTCCATTTCTTAAGGGTGCCACCTACTTAAATGCCAATACTACCATAATTCCCTTGCATTCAACTCCTGGCTTTCTATTGCTTAAATTTAGAGGAATCCTTGCACTAAAGTGGTTGAGCAATTTTTAGAAATACTTGTCCTGCACTGAGCTCTCTCCTGGCAGCAAAACAGTTACACGAGCACTTTCAGAGTGGTACAGGTGTGCCGCTGTAAGCTTGTAAGTGTAGGCCTGGTCTTAGTGAAAATGCCTGCTCATGCTTCGGTTGGATGTTTAACTGAAATGTATAGTTGATCTTTATAAGGTGTTTGGCAATATGGCAACAAGCCCTCTCAATCAAGTTAGCCTTTAAGATCAAGTGATCTTGTCTGGGGAAAAAAAGGCAATTTTGAGGAATAAATAGCCTTGGAGAGAATCCAACAACTTTCAGATAATCCTTGGACCATACAGGCCTCAATTTAGTTCCCTCAGACAATTAAATCAGTTTGTTGGTACCTCTTCTAGAACAGGAACTTGTTTTTGTTTTTTACACTCTACTTGTGGTGTATTTTAAAGCTAAGTTACTAACTTGCATAGCTTTCTACTGACAATTAACAAAGCAGCCTTGGCTCCTGTAGTTTTTTTAAACTAGATCCAAAACAGTGGCATTTCAAGAGGCAGTATAATAACTGCTCATTCAACTGTGCACCCTTCTGATAAGTATGTTTGTGTATTCCTGCCTTGAGCCAAGTACTCCATATATAGCTGAAATGAAGTGTACTCAGCAATAGCTAAGGTTAGGAAGTGGAAAAACACAGCTTAATTTGCAAAAACCCATATAGCCATCTCTTCACTCAACTTAGTGTAACTGTTTTTTAAAAACATTTGAGGGAAGTTGAAGCAAGAAGAATTAAGATTTGAGGCTATATTTGTGTCCCTATTACCAAAATATTACCGCACCTCCATGTGTTTATCATGCTCGCTCCTGATGAGGTAGTGTATTTTTATCCCTATTTTACAAATGGTGAATGGAGACCCACATTACATGACTTAAGGTTATAGAGGAAGCCTCTGGTAGAGCAGGGAATTGAACCCAGGTGTTGAGACCCTAGTAATCTAACCCCTGGATCATCCTTTAGAAGTAAGTACTGTAGAGGTCAGGGGAGAACTTCATTTAAATCTTAGCTCCTACTTCCAAAAGCCAGGCTTATTTTATGCCCAGGTAGCTTCCCTCTCTTGCAGTGAGAAGCAGACTAATGTAACACTTGTATGTTGTTTTAGACAGCACTTTCACAATATGCAGCACTTGCCTTTCCTAAACTCCATGTGTAATGCTATACTGACCTAAGAGAAATGCATTAGATGTCAGTCATATGTAGCAGTCGAATGGTACTATTCTACTTGATGTGCACAAGCGTAGCTGTCGCTACTGTATTAGTTAGACATACTCAGTCTCTCCCAGATAAAGTTTGTCAGTTCGAATGTGTATATATTCTAGACATGACTGGCTATAAAACTAATGCAAAGATGAAGTAAACTTGATTTATCTTTCAGTAAATGCCAAAATCCAAGCTAATATAAACACATTCCCTTGATATTTTGATAATGCTAGATATTTAAATCTAGACTTGAAGATAGCTCTGCATATCAACTTAATGAGGGGAGGTACCATACTACCATTGGAGTAAAGGACTGCATAACCATCTTCGGTAATTAAGTCACAACAGCTGGTTCAAGTCACTGTCAGAGAGGGAGACTATCCGCTTTAGTCAGTTACAATGACAAAGCGAGATTTGCACTGAAGTATTAGACTGGGAGTTCTCCATTCAAGAAAAGGTAGGCTGGGCCCAGCCTAACTTGGAGTGGAGAACGCCTTGTCATCGGGGGGTAGGTAGTTGTCTCCTGGGTGCAGGCAGCTAAAATAGCAGTAATCCAGGTAGGGCTGACTTGATTCCCAATTATCTTTTGTGGTGTGCTAAATTCTGATAATAGGACTGTTTGACAAACTGGCACCAGGGTTTGCTTACCCCCTCTGAAAGCAGTACTAATGAATGGAGCCTCACTGGCCCTGAGAGGTAGGCAAGTGTTTTGCAAAGTTGAAGTGATTTGCCCAAAGAAGTCGCAGGTTTACAGTCCACTGCCTAAACTACAGGACTATTTTACCTTTCCTTAAAAAATTCAATGGTTGATGTTATAGGAAGAAAGGGAGTGTAAAATCCATTTGAAATGGTTTCAGGATAGAGTAGCTACAACGCAAGCTCACTAAAGACCAATATCTTAAGGCTTGTCTACACTAGAATGCTCTAAATGCCCTGGGGTAGACCTACTGGCACAAACTAAAAGGTACCTAGTGTATATTGATAACAGGACTACATTAACATGCACTAGGTACCTTTGTGCCAGTAGGGTTTACATGAGGCAGTTAGAGTGCGGTATTTTACAGCACTCCAAAATTCACACCCCCTATAAACTGGACTGCTGTGAAACTATTATTCAGGATAGAATTGCAGTGTCTTCAACTTACAGACTTCATGTATAGCTTTACTAGTTAACTCAGAGTTAGACAACTTCAAAAGAAATAGCACTAGCTATCTACTCAATTGAAAAATGAAGGATAGTTCAAGTTTGAGTATTGTCTTTGATGTATATAAAGGTGAGACAAGTATACTGGTGCACTCGGATGACATTTGGTAACCTGGTTTTTCCTCTATTTCACTCTTGACACCATGGTCTTTGGCACAAAAGTTTACTAAAATTCATGCTTAGAGGCAATATCTTATCTTTTTTTTCATAGGTCAACACAGCTATGTCCAATTTTCAAATGAAGTCTGAACCATGATCTGACAGTAAATGGGAAATTTATTTTAGTGCAAGTTAACATCTTTCCAGCAAGTAAATAATAATCCATGGTTAACACATTAACCCCTTCTACAAATTAAGAAAATTGAAAGTTGTCTTGAAGTAACAATGTGTTACATATTGTCGTCATCTGATTCATCCTCCTCTTTCAAGGACTCCTGTTTTGAAAAGAAAAGGCATAATCAACTCCTAGGTCTTGTTCAGTGGCTGCCTGGCAAGTCCTAGAAGTCAGCCTACATTCGACAAAGTGTCTGATTCTTTAAAACTATATATCTGATAGTCATTTACACTAGTTCACTATAAGTGAGTAGGAAATGTTGGTATGGTAATTGTATTGCATCCACTTTGTACAGGTAAACTAAAGCAGTAGAGAACAAGGCCCCATATTTACATGGATTGCATAGCACCATGTGGCAGTCAAGAATAGTGTTGCATGGGAAAGTGTCAAATACTGCGACTTCAGTGTACAAAAAACACTATTGAAGTGCAGCCATCAGCTTCCAAAACAAATACAGAACTAATACATGCTCCAATTGCTTCTATTTTTCCTAGTCAATTTGTGTTTTAAAGGGTTAGTGTACTGGATATAACTCATCATTAGTACTACTGTCAGTTCGCTCAGTTAAAAAAAATTAATCTGATGCATTTGGTTTCTTATTATTTAGGTAAGGAGAAACATGCCTGCTGTATAAGACTTGAACCATACATTGTTGAATGCACAATGTGACCAGCTGAAGATGCCACTGGATTACTTTCTTTCTATTCTTCCTTCCAAAGTTTCAGGTAATTGTTTCTGAAACATTTTAATCTAAAAAACCCCAGACTAGGTTTGTCTCATAACTAATGTACTTAAAATAATGCGCTTCTAGCTGCCAAAACACTATATAAAGTGCATTTTGTGCAGTTTATTCTATTTTGTATTTGTAAAATGGAGTTTTGAACCTGCTAAATAAAATTCTATTGCTTACCTTAGCATATTTCTCTGCTTCTTCTCTGATGTCTTTTGGAACAATTTCATGTTTTCCTTTTGTTACTGTGAATGAAGCCATATTTATAAAGACTTTAGAAATTACTGGTATAAGCGTGGAACTTGTAAATATCAAAGTAGCAAACTTAGCAGACAGAAGCAACAATAGAGACTACAAACATTAACAGGTATTTGTTACTTTCTCCGTAGTATGGGTGGAGTTTAGAATCTGAGTCTTCGATTTGTTTTACTCCCACAGAACTGACATCAGTTTTATTTAACTTGTTCATTTCTATAATCAAATATGGTGTAGCTAAAGGCAACAAAACAAGGAAAAATGAAATACATTACTTTCTCCAACCCAGCTGAGTTCAAGTTCAAAAGCTTTATCCTTCACTTCATCATGAACTATGTAGATTCTAGAAAGAGTGAGAAAAACTGTTTATGAAGAGTTAGGCACTGACATTTTCCCTTCCCAAAGCCAAGGATTAATATGTAAAAAAACAATTACGTTACAAAATTCTACTTGCCCCTCCCTTCTTCTCCTGCTAGTTTGTAGTATCAGTTTTCCTGTTCTTTACCATACCAGAGAAACATGGTAAAGAGGACACACACCAGTATTGTATGTAGTAGTTTTACATTAATGTAAGAAGTAAATGCTGAAAGTAACATTCCCTCAATCACTTACAGTAGTGTTTACTAACAGTAAAACTTTCAGCCAAGATACCACCCAGCCATTTGGTCTTAACTCAAGCTGTCTCTCATAACCAGAAATAAGCACAGAACAAGTATCCTGATCAAAGATGCAGACAGCATAGCACTTAAGTGACCCCATGGGTATAATGCCTCAACTATTCATGAAACTGAAGCCAGCAAGTAGTTTTCCTAAAACTATATTTCTCCTGCAAGTCACATACAAAAATTAATGAAGACTCAGTAAATGCAGCTCAAACTTACAAATGTTGTTTAATAGTACACATGTGCATGCACACACCTTGCACATCTGTAGTTAGTAACTTGTGTACAAGCCCCTAGTTACATACGGGACTGGCCATGTGTTACAATTCTAATTCTGCATGCAATCATGGTAATTTATGCCTGTGTTGTACATAGTTCTGAAACTAGCCATCAGTCTATAAAATAAAAGGCAAGCTGGCAATGATGACCAGACCGTAGACTGAATCTTATTTCCGTGTCCTGCAAGCACTTAATCTATTTATTCACATGAGGAACACTAAGAAAATGCTAAAGAAGTTAATGTTCTTCAATAGCCCCCTCAAAGCAGTTGCACAAGTTAACAAAACATTCAGTTCCAGTTGTTACAGAAGCTTGCATTCTTCAACGTTTGAATTTAGGATGCTTAAATGCAAAGCTGAAACCAGGTAGTTCTAATGGTGACATTATATCCCTTGTCCTCTAGAAGAGGAGCTAGAACCCACAAATTCACTAACTGCATTGGACCTATGCTCTGGACTTACTTGCCAACCACGATCAGAGCTCTGAATGCCTCAAAGCCTGCTATTAATCACATGGAATTGCTCACACTATTTTTGTTACCTCCACTCACATGCCCTCACCCCCCTTTGTCTCATCCACCTGTTATTTTTGAGACTAGCTGTTGGAGGCAAGCACTTAACATACTGCTAGTGCAGTAGAGGCCCCAAACTGGTTAAAGGACTGCTGATGAAATGAAAATGTAAAAAGAAAAGTGTAAAGTGCATTACAGCTGCATAGAGTTGCAACATTTCAAGCCTCCAGTGCCATGCAGTTCACTTTCCCATTCTAGTTCTTTAGAACAAAAACTGAAAGTTTGCCCCCAGATCATGCAGCTTGAGAGAGTTTGATTCCCCTTTCTCACAGGGCTTCAAACAGGTATCAAGGTCAGAGATCTTACTTAAGTTCTCTGGTTCAGCACATCTCACAGCAACCTGAGACATCCACTGTATGGAACATGCATATGCCCCCCGTATAAAAAGGATTCATCCTAGTATATTTCTTAATAGCCTTCTAAGATATTGCTACAAAAATACTGGAATTTCATTTGCAACTAAACTTTACAAGTAAAGTTTCACAGGCAAGTACACTAGATGTTCAAGAAACTCAGTGTAATTCCTGCAGTGGCTAAAGTTTGAAGGGGAGTAGTATTAACCCCTGCTCTGAAGTGTTTGCCATCTACCATTTAATTAATACAAAAAGTATCAGAGGACAGGCATTGCTTTATAAATACCCAGCTGATTAGACCAACTCAGTGCCAGAAATGGAAACTAAAGCCTTGATCACTGAGGAAAAATGTCTAGGAAAGAAAGGGTCAAAGAGATACTGATATGAACAAACATGAAAATACAAAGGAAGAAGACATAAGAGTGAGCAATGTGGACAGCTACAGTAAGCTCGGCAAGAAGACAGTTGGGGATCCCTGAAGGGCCGTTTCGGAAGAATGAAGGTGGTATAAAGTTAAAACACCACCCTTACAATGCTGGATGTGAAGAGGTCTCTCACTGACCCTTAGGTAGAAAGAGTAGTGTAACGAGAGTAAACTAGCATATTTAGAGGCAGAGGAAAAGTTAGGGCCAAAGAGGAAGAAAGTGGAGTCGCAGACAACTCATGCCAGATTGCACATATTGTTTGATAGAGTTGGAAAGGTCCTGGATTGAGGGGAAGACCGCCATAAGGCAGGTTAACATGTAGGAAAGATTCTAGAACACACACAGCCTGCTGCTACCCCCAACACTGGACTCAAACACTCCTCTTTCTTCAATTCTGCACCCCAGTTCTATTTTCTCTCCTGCCTGTGTTTCTGTGGTTTATAGCAGCAGGGAAATGTGCTCAAGTTCAACAACAAGAGGTATGTGGCCAGCAGATCAGACTAGGAAGGAAGTGTGACTATCCAGCACTGTCTAAGGTACACAGTATATAAAATACTACTTTAGTCTTAATTACCTAACATGGTATTTATAACACCTGTTTGCAAGTTTAAGGTTTCTAAAGCTATTAAGCTACTGTGCCATCAGATTGGATTGTTAGTTTTCTCCAGGAGTCAGCTAAGTCCTATCATTTCTCCATGCACATAGTAGAAGGCTACATGTCATCTTCTGGATAAATTGCACTGCACTTGCTCTCCTAACCAAGCAGTGATGCACCTTAATCAGCTAGCAAGGAGAAGAGAGGGGTGTTAATGAGGCCCTCTCCAGGAACAGTGTTCCTTTGCTTCATTCCCAGATACTGCCAAGCCAGGAAGCACCTGAAACCACAATTAAGTTTGCATAGGTCTATTTCCATATACCTCTGTATTATGAACTATGACCAGCTTCCCTTTCTCTCAAAGTATTTACATTTTAAAAGAGTAGAAACAAAGCCAAAACATTTATCTACACTTAACCCATTGTTCCAAGCAACACCTAAAGTGACTAATGGAAAGGATAAAGATACATGTTTTCACTTGGTTTCCTTAGTGTTGCAAAAAGCTCAAAGTTGACTCGTTTCACTGTTTCCTCTGTGTAGTCATGCTGGATAGATCTTTCACACAGCAAGGAGGGAGGGAAAACCACACATTTAAAATAAGGAAAAGATTCTAAAGGTACCAAAGTTAGTACAAGGACAGCCCTAGGAACAGGAGTAGTACTTTAAGCTTCCAATTTTTTTTTTTAAATGACTCCATTCCATATTAGGGCCAGTTTGCTGATCTATTGAAGTTTTATTTTTCACAAGGAGGGATAAGAGAGGAAAAAAAAGCACTGAGGATGAAAGGCCAGAAGAAAGGAAACTTACATTTTTGCAACTTCTTTAACAACATCACGGCAAGTCATTTCTTTCATCTGTGGGTAAGGAATGTGCAATTTAGTTGAGGATTTAACATTTTGTATTTTTGGAAAACACTTATCCACTAGGGGAAAGCCAGGATATCGGTGGCTGATCTACCAAAGTATATTACCTATGCAGGAACAAAACAAGAGTATCTCCTGCACAATCCTGCCACAGTCTCAGTCAAGAATAGAACCAAATTAAATTATCTAATTCTTTATTTTCACTTTTTATTCAAACTGCTACTTTTGTATGAGTCCCAAAAGTTATTCTTTCCCATATTCATTCAGTTACAGACAGCTTAGAGACACAGATCTTCAGTTTGTGTCCCTTTCAACTGAACAGCTTTTTATAAATCTCAGCATACATACCTTTATGCCTTTTGACAGACTGTAACTCATGAGACTATCATACCAACAGATGCATCTCTATCTTAGCACCTGTTCTAACAATCATACTTCAAGAGTCTCTAGGGCATTCCTGTTTACATGTAGTGTCCTACTGGTAAATGCTATTCTAATTTTGATAAGACAGACCTTGTGAGGCTGAACAGAGGATTAGTTTTTCATTTTGCAATTTTTCCCTCAAACACATCTAGTTACAGCAAGTCCTGAGGCAGTCCACTGACAGCTGACCAAAATAAAGTTTCACACTTGATAATGACAGGTTTCAGAGTAGCAGCTGTTAGTTTGTATCCGCAAAAAGAACAGGAGTACTTGTGGCACCTTAGAGACTAACAAATTTATGTAATGGTAACGTTTACAAAATTAAATTCCAGAGTCCATGACATGGTACAAGCGCATGTAAAAACATTCATACACATCAGATCTCAACAACCTCCTCCTTTTAGGATAATGGAAAAGCAACACATCCTGTCATGCTGATTTAATGCAGTCACAAAACTAGAAGATCCTTGTTCCCTTTCCCCAATAACTGATTCTTAACAGAGACAGGATCATATCTGGACAAACACTTAGACAACAAGATGGGATACAAGTCTACTGTGCTCCAGCATGACTTGTGCTAAATGTTCACGTGCTGCTGTTATAAAAGTTCCCTCGTACACATTAATCTATTCTCATTTCAAAGCAGGGTAGATCAGAGCACACTAGGGAACTTTTAATGGGCAGCAGCAGGTCCAGACAGACATCTCTTGCTCAGCAGGCTCAGATGGGGTAGATTTACACCCCAGCTTGCCATGAACTAACTGTTTGTGTTGACACAAGCCCTAAGATATCACACACCAGTATCTTTGTATAACTTGCATGCACCACAGAACTAATTTTTGCACTTATGCACACAAGTTACTTGTGAAAGAGTGAGATCTATTAGTCTTGTGATGTTACAAAGGTTTGCAGGCCACATGCTTTGGCTAGACATTATCCCCTGGCCTCCTTTTTCATCTCAGATTTGTTAATCCTGCAGACAATATCAAAAGCTTGACACGGAATTTATCATTCAAAGCGTTACTTGTATCATTCAGAGTTCATATCCAAAGTAATATGTGGGAAATTTAAACATTAGATAGCACATGAATTGTCTCAGAAGAAGCTGAATTTGAGAGATACTAAAAAATTTTCCTGGGTGAATACAGGGTCACACTCTGAGGTATTAAGTGTTTACAGCTACCACTAGATGTGATTAATACAGTAGTTCTTCATAATGTGAACCACTTAAAATGAAAAATATTTCACTAAAACCACATCCCCTCCCAGCTTCTGTATCTTCATTGCAGTATGCTTAACTGTTCCCCTATAAATCTTGGCTGTCTAAAATCTGACAGTACTAAGAAGGAAAAGACTTGCTTTAATAGGATAGGTGTAGCTACTTCCTTACCTCTCCCCTCTTTTCTGGGTGTAGATTTTTATATGTAATCTCCAGCAGGCCATATTGTCCATCACTTCAAATCACCTTGCAGTTTGCTACTTCTAATTTTATATGTTTGGTACAGATTAACTTTTGAACAAGTTTCCAACATGCACCTGACAAATAGGTCAAAGTCTCTGGAAACCTGGGGCTTGTCTCCACTTACCGGGGGGGGGAGGATCTATGCACGGTGATCAATCTACTGTGGTCGATTTAGCAGATCTAGTGAAGACCCGCTAAATCGACCGCCGGTCGCTCTCCCATCAACTTCAGTACTCTATTGGAATGGGAAGCATAAAGCTAGTCAAAGGGAGAGTTTCTTCTGTCGACCCAGCATGATGTAAACACTGCAAAAGGTTATTCACGTAGCTGGAGTTACGTAATTTAGGTCAACTGAGTCCCATAGCGTAGACCTGCCCCTAGAATCCTGAGTGCGGAACATCTACCAGGAAGCATTACAGCTTGAAACTGCCACACGCTTTGGATCTGTGTTCCCTCTAAGGTGTGCACCTGTGCGGCTGCACAGGAGGCCATCAAGTGCCATGCACCAGCCATGCAGTGCACACACAGGTGAGCATGGAGAATGTGTAGGCTGGGGGGGGGAGGGTGAGGTGGGGAGCAGTGATGGAGGTTTGGGGGAACTTGGGGCATGCAGGGCTGTGGTGGGGATGGGAGACATGCCTCTCTCTCCCCCGGCCCCAGCTCCAGCCAGGGCTGCGGTGGGGACAGGAGACATGCCTCTCTCTCCCCCAGCCAGCTGGACTGCAGCACTGGCAGGGGAAATGCCAACACGCCTCTCTCTCCCTGGGCCAGCTGGACTGCAACAGTGGCAGGGGAGGGCACAGTATCTTGATTAGCAGAATGTGTTTTCTCACCATCTGATTAGGTAGGAGATAATGCCTCAATAAAACTGTCAGTAGTCTGCCAGACCAATGCTTCTAGCAAGCTCCACACCGGTTTGTAAAGGTCTTATAAACCTCATTCTTGGCTATTACCTATCATTTAATTTTTTTCACCATTACACGATCTACATTGTTTTTTCTGATGCTTTTAAAAAATGGCAAAAATAGTATTTCACTGTTCCTGGCTTACAGTTGCATAAGAGACCAATTACTTGGATCAGCTGGCAGAAATTTTCTTGCATTGAGGTTAGTCACTGGATCAATATAACATTGTCCCTCAACTTGAACTGTGCTTTGAATTCAGAAATAAGAGCATGTGTTAAGCATTCCATGAAAGCTTTAACTATGAGCCTAAAGGAGTGAGCCTTTCCCATTTATAGATTGCAAAGGAATAGTCTCTAGGTAAGACAAATAAAGCTAAGACAAATTCTAATAAGCATATTTTGGTTGAGCTCCTCTTACGAAAACTAGGGGGTCTGATTGTTGCCGCGTTCAACCCTCATTAGGGTGAATGTCAGCTTTGCACACTTTTGCTGAAATTCATCCAGGAACACAGGTGGCCACAGAAAGTCCCCCAGTGCAGCAGAACTGTTGTGGTTACACTCACATGTGACTGGGTAACTGTTCAGTGGGTGCACAGAGAACACTGTACCTTCTACATGTGACTGAACTGGGTTCCCCACTAGCTATGCATAGGCCACTACAGAAAAGGGCCAAGGAATGGAAAAAGGCCATGGTTACAGTGGGTGTGACAAGGAATGTTATTAGACCAGTGTGCAGGAGTCACAGGTCTGGTACAGCAACTGCAAAGAGAGTATGTATCTGCTCTGGCCACAGGTTGGGGATGTTCATTCTGTAACACCCCACACACACACACACACCGTGCCTCACTTTCCCCATTTTCCAAATGGGAATAATGATATTGACCTTCCTCTGTAAAACACTGATATTTATAAAGGAAAAGCACTAAATATTGCTGGCTTTTTCATTTGAGTTTTAAAAGGACATTACCAAAACTAGGACTTGATGGAAATGTTTTTGTCTGATTTCCAGTGACAACAATTCCCTGTTGTGGATTTAAACCTCCCCTCAGTGTTTGCAAAGCTTTTTGTGGGCCAGAGGACACATGGTTTATCTAGGGGCCTGGTCCTGCAAAGTATTACTCATGTAACTGTTACTGATGTGAGTGGCCTTATGGAAAGAAGTGGGAGAACTTCATGTCAAGTGGCAGTTTGACTGAGCCCATGCGTTTGTAAAGTGCTGTGTACATTTACAAAGCTGTGTGTGTTTCACTGTAATAACCGAGACACTGGAACATTGTACGTGTCCATGAGAAGCTGAAGGTGAACTTCACCATGCTACTTTAGTTGTCCAAGCTGATCCAGTGTAAAAATAAAAACCATGAAGATTGAATAGTTTATAGGACTTCTCAATTGTTTTGTACTGTTAATACAAGAGGATGGAAGTAAGGGGAATTTGAGCCTTACTGTCCTGATTTAAAAACAAACTTTTACTTTGATTTCTAAATTGCAGTATTATATTTTACATTCAGATGAGACCTTTACAGATGGAGACCTGTCTGAACATTAAATATCTCAAGCATTTTGCATAAGAGGAAAAGATTTTTCCTATCCAAAATTCCCCTTGTCTTTCCAAACTGCTGCACAGTGCTCTCTGTGCTGTTGATCTTCCTCCCCAGAGGTGGCTGTATTTCAGTGAAGCATTTATATGAGGATAGTTTGTGAAGCATGTACTGATCCTTGTGGAAGGAGGCTGTAGGAGTGAACAGATAGGTACTGCAAATGTCACCTGAAGACAGACCTTCACTAAGACCCAGCCAGGTACTAGCAGTAGGATGTTGGGAGCTCTTGGTGGGCTAAGGGCAGCCGTGAAAGTATGGAGGTGATGGCGCAACTCCGCATATTACCTCTATATTGGTGCTGCACATAAAATTTATTCTGCACATGGATGGAAAAAATTAGAAGGAACACTGCTTTGCATTACTGTGATAGCGCCACCGAACAGCTGGAAGTTCTCTACAGACAATGACAGCCATGTCAATGTGCGCTGGAGATTATTTTGTTTGTTCTGAATTATTATGCCCCACTGATAAGATCAGACAATATTTGGAAATATAAGGAAGACATTAGCAGGCTACAATCCTAGCACTACATACAAAGAAATCATTATTAACAAACACCCTCAGGAGTAAGCTATGTCACTCAAATGCAGCAAGGTATATTCTGAAATTGACACAGCATTGTTTCTCAGATGCCAAGGATACAGTCAGCATTGTCTTTTAGCCTCTATATTTTCAACACAGCGTATGAACATAAGACTGAACTTTTAAGACAGATCTCTGATAAAATCCAGCCTGACGCATACAGTAGATTAAATGAAATGTAATTATAAAAATTAAGCAAATTAAGCAATTTGTTAAGATACAAGATATGGAAAATAGGCTACATTTTAATGGTGGTTCAAAAAAATGTAGCATAAACCAGGACCAAATTAAATTCCCATAGATCTCTAAATTTTAAGAACTGGTAGGTACATTTTCAGACTGCCAAAAAAAAAGATGCAGGAGGGAGATGAAGTGAGCTTGGTTTGTGGTAAATCAGTTTTTTCCTGCTCTTTTAAAGAGCTTACTAGTTTCAGTAGGTTCATGTTCTCAGATGCACTATGTGTTTGTGTATACAGTGTTTTATAGTAAATAAAATGTAAGTTAGACAAGAGAGCTGGAGAGAAATCAAATTAAATTTAAGATCCTAAAACAGTACTGCAGAAGTTATTAGCATGAGGCATGTTTAAATAAACTTCAGCGCAGTCAACCAAAACAAGTATTAGTTTTACATAACTGTCTAAATGCACATTAGATAAATTTAAATGTTTTGATATGAAACCACTTAAGTCTCAAGATAATAAGCAATCCATCTGTATTTTGCATTACTGTAACTCCCACAATTTGGAACCCTTTCATAAAATACTGGGATACCATTTTTAATAAGATTATAACAATTTATACAGTTACATGGTTGATCTAACGCTGTATTAACAGGAAACTAATACACTGTTTAATCAGAGCAGAGCTAAGAGGACGGGAAAAGGCAGGTTGGTTTCCCCATATCAGCACAGTTTATGGGCAACAGGTTGTATTTTTGCATATGATGTTCCACTGTTCACGTAAGAGTTAGTTGCATTTATAGTTTGTTGACTTATAAGAACTTTCAACAATCCTATCTTACAAGGGGTTTTCTTCTAAAAACAAAATACTTATATGGTATTATAGGAAGATTCAACTGCAGTATTATGGCAGAGAACATGTTGAACTGATATAGCTCCTCCAGTCTCATAAGTGTTTAAGAAATTGATAGGTTTCAGGAATTCAACAAAAAGCTGTACAAGAGCTTTTTGCTAAATTGTCTCCTACCACCTGGATGTGCCCCAGATAAGCTAGTAAGAGAGTGTTTCTGGATCAAGGCATGGCTGACTGCTGTAAGCCACAAGTATTTTCGAATGCCTCAATCTAATTTTTTACACCAAAACTGAACGAGTTTAACTGTATTTCTTCATAGTGTTCTGATGTAATTCACACATAGGAACACTATCATGCTAAGGTGTCTGGGCTTTCAGTTTAAATAAATATTTTCATGAAGACTTTGTTATTAGTCCATTTCACACTAAGGAGCAACACGACCAGTGAATGAAGTAGTCCATAACTGCAATTTCATTCTTCTCCATTTGTTAGAAACCACTGTTACCAGTTTTCCACCAAAGCACAGAAAGCCCTACATAATCTCTAGCACAAGCTAAGCAATCCATTTTTTGCACTCTTAAATCAAAGGTTGTCTAATATATCCAAGTTATTAGATGAATAATTTGTATTTTACACAATTAACTGACTTCAGAAGCACTACAGAACAAAGGTGTGATGACTGATATTTGCAGGTTAACTGAGCTCTTTGGGAGAGAAAGTCCCAAACTCTCCTGTTAATAGTAATAAATTAACATATTGCTTTTCAAGTTTCTTTACAAACCTGAAACAATTTAAGTAGTTATAACACACTCCCTTATATGTGGCTCAATAACCATTTAATAAATGCAGTTTACTCCACATGCTTTTGATTACCTCACCTATGCTCTGTCTACTAAACCATTTCTCCTGGGACTTTCCAAACCTCTGAGCAACTTCAAAGTTATTCTTCTCCCCTTCTCCTTGTAAAATAGATATCTATTTTCTAAGAGGTGTCCTTTTACTGCTCCCTCCCCAAATTATGCAGGCTTGTGGGGAAAGATGGGCAATGTTCCAATACTGGATTAGTAAAAGTTTCAAATTCATCATCTGTGACTTCAAATGTAGAAACGGGAGCTTTCTACCACTGGGAAGAAGAGATTCCCAGTTTTCCAATGGAGCCTTACAATAGCCTTGGAGGATCTCAAAATCTGACTTCACAGTAATTACGTTTATTTCAGGCAATATTTAGAGGTTTTTAAACCTCTCATTTGGAGGCCAGACAGTTGTATTTATGTGAGCCAAACTTCATAGGTGGAGGGGAAAGTTTTAACAAAAACAGTTCTAAAAGTGGTTTGTGTTCTGTATATACTGCATTTGACAGTGTAAGTTGGTATACAAGTTTAGCTGGTACGGGTGCTGCAAAACAAGTTTTTTTGCCAATCATCATTAATATAGCCATCCAAGCTTTTTATGCTACATTATATATATATATATATAGCATGAAAAGCTTTATTGACAGTATATCTATATACTGCTTTAAGAAATTCTTAGAAAAAATGATATCAACATGATACTCAACAAGTATATTGAAAGGGAGCAAGATGACTGACTGGTGCTTCACCTGATGAGAACAAACATCTCTGATCTTACTTCTCCATGACAGTATATTTTAGTACAATTCATAGTATTCCTCTGGTCATTCAGGATAGGACAGAGATGGGGCTGCAGCCCATTCATTGTTCTTTAGGGGATATTCCAGTCACAGTGGGCTATAGGGAAATGTTCCTGTACAGAGCAAGTAGCTTCATCTACTTGCTAGCCTCCCTTGTGCCAGAGTGCACTGATGCCCACTAAACCTTACCTTCAAAAACCTAAAAGTTACAGCACAACAGTGGTAGCTAGGAATATCTGTCTTGAAATGGATTAGTACAAAATAATTGGATATACTGTATATTATATTATTAATACCATCCTACCTGAAGTTTTTCAATCTCTGTCTTTGCAGCCTGTCTGGCTTTACCAATGGCACACCCCCAATAACCCTACAAAAGCAACAAAAGAAGAGATTAGTTAAAGTTTGGTTATAATCTTTCTTACAGGGAGGGTTTCTTTAATATTCTTTAGTTGTAAGAACTAGTAGTTTACAATGTAGAACTCTGAGTATACCTGTAGGTAATACTACAGTAACAACAAAACATCTTTCTCAGTAAACTCCTCGGAATCTTATTTATACTGGTGTTTTAACAGAATAAGTGAAAACTCCCAAAAACTTAACAGACAAAGTGGGCGTAGTAATATCTTTTATTGGACCAACTTCTGTTGGTGAGAGGCAAGCTTTCGAGGTTTACACAGAGCTCTTCTTTAGGACTGGAAATGAACTCAAAGTGTCACTGCTAAATACAAGGTTTGAACAGATGGCTTAGCATAAGAAGTTAACACATATTTCAAGGTAACCCCTGCGGTCATAAGGAGGAAGGAAAGGGGGTAGGGGAAACATCTGGGGTGTAAATGGGGTGTGTGCGGGGGGATGGGGGAATTGTTAGGGGATTGCAGATAGTTGTAATAAGCCATAAATCCAGTGTCTCTATTCAGTCCATGATTTTTAGTGTCTAGCAAAGTTATGAATTTAAGCTTCCAGACTTGTCTTTTGAAAGTATTGTGCAAGTTTCATTCTATATCAGGTCTCATCCTCAAAGGATCACTTTGTGAAAAGTGTTCACCCATAAGCGATATTGTGTTTTTGTCTTTGATCATTTTCCTACGTTCATTTGAGAGCACAGTGATTGTCTGGTTTCAGCCACATAGTTGCTATGGGGCATTTAGTGCGCTGGATGAGGTACACCACATGTAGCAATAGGCATGTGTAGGACCCATGGATCTAGAAAGGTGTGTTGTGGGGAGTGTTGATCATCGTATCAGTGGAGATATGTCTGCAGGTTTCGCATCTGTGCTTCCGGCAGAGTCTGGGGCCACTTTGAGTTCGCGTGTCCTGGTCTGTGTGGAGTTTACTTCTGATGAGCTTGAAGAGCTCAGGGGGTTATTTGAAGGCCAGAAGAGGGGATTCAGGAAAGATTTCCTTCAGGATGGGGTCCCCATCAAGTATGGGTTGTAGCTATTTGATGGTACCCTGTAGTATGGGTTCCAGTGTGTGGTGGCAGGTGACACCTAGGGGTGTGCAGTTGGAGGAGGTTTAAATTCAATGTTGGAGCCGGTTCTCTCGTGGTATTTGGATGGTCCATTCCATGATGTGATCTATTTCTTTAGTGGAGTGCACCCCTCCACTGCTAGAATGATCAATGCTCTCCACAACACATCTCACAATTTCAAGATTGATGGGTCCTACACATGCCTATCGCAACCTGGTGTACTTCATCCAGCGCACTAAATGCCCTGATAGCAACTATGTGAGTGAAACCAGACAATCACTACACTTTTGAATGAATGTAGGAAAATGACAAAAGACAAATACCGGTCACCCATGTGTGAACACTTTTCACAAAATTTCAGAGTAGCAGCCATGTTAGTCTGTATCCGCAAAAAGAAAAGGAGCACTTGTGACACCTTACAGACTAACTAATTTATTTGAGCATAAGCTTTCGTGAGCTACAGCTCACTTCATCAGATACATCATGAGCTGTAGCTCACGAAAGCTTATGCTCAAATAAATTGGTTAGTCTCTAAGGTGCCACAAGTCCCCCTTTTCTTTTCACAAAGCAATCACTCTATATCTGACCTATCAGTCCTCATCTTCAAAGGAAACCTACACACTTTCAAAACATGAGCCTGAGAGCTTAAATTCATAATTTAGCTATATTACTAAAAATAATGGACTGAACAGACACACTAGACTTAGGGTTTATTACAATAATTTATATAACCAACGAGTAAACCCCCCCAGCTGCCCTCCCCCCCCCCATGACTAGAGGGGTGTTAACAGGCCACTTCATCTCCAGTGGTCCCTTGAAATGTGTTCACTATTCAGGCTGAACAATCTGTTCCACCTGGTCTTTAGCTGTGACGCCAAGTGCCTCTCCCAGGCCTGAGGTGGAGCTCCATGCCAGCTTGAAAGCTGGCCTCTCTCTTTCTCGCCAACAGAGGTTGGTCCAACAAAAGATGCTACATCATCCCCCTTCTCTCGCTGATACCCTGGGGTCAGCCTGGCCACAACACCGCATACAAAACTAAACATGCCCTTTGAATTGTTTCATCACTTCCGTCCCCAAAAAGTCCATTTGGCTGGACAACATATATCCATCTCTGGGAACTGACATACCACTCTACACTCCGCCTTGTCACTATTTTTCCCCAACATCTCCCCTCATGCCATCTGTCCCTTCCCATCCTTCTCCTTTGCCAAACTCCCACTGGTCTGTTGTCTGCCTTGAAGCATCTTACGTGTTAAAGCCTAACTGTTCTTACTGATTTTTGTTGGACTCCCAAAACTGCAGCTTTAAAAGTTTCACGTGCCCTGGAGTGTCTTTGCAGAATACGTTTTCTGTATTCTTCATGCTTAGGTGGGAGAGGTGGTCACCAAACATTTGTTTAGTCACAAAGGAAGCATTAATCTCCTAATTTTTGCACGGCAAGCACAGTGGTAAATACAGTGGAGTTTAACCACGTATACCATTTGATGAAGGAAGGAGATCTATATCAGTGACTCACCTTCTTACACCTCACAGCACAGAAGTCAATGTAATACACAGACTACTGAAACACAAGGTTGAAATGCCTGTGGGTCTGTCTAGTCCAGTCTGTCTTTTGACAGTGGTTAGTACCAGAAGCTTCAGAGGAAGAAGCTCTATAGTGGACGATAATGAAATAATCTGTCCACAAAGGTAGTTTCTTGCTAACCTCATTCATGTTAACTATGACCTGAAGCATATAGGGTTTACATCTTTCCTAAAAAAAAAAAAAAAAAGTTTTTATCTTTATAAAAGCATGAACACTCTCAGTACACAGATATCTAATAATGTTTAAATCCTAAACCCTTGGATTTAATGATATCCTGTGGCCCTCAATTCCACAGGTTGTGTACAGTAGTATTTGTTTTACCAGCTTTGAATCAGCTTAAAGAAAGGTTTACAAGTCTTCAATTCCAAGATCATCCCAGCAACTATTTTAAAAATAGGTACAGCATTTCCTACCCTCCAGTATATTGAGACATGGCATATTCTTATTAACAGATCAGCCACCTAATTATTAAAGTCCTTCAGAATTCTTGGATGGATGCCATCTAGCACTGGCAACTTGCTACTCTTTAATTTATCAGTTATCTCCAGCAACTTTTCTTGATACCTACTCTTATCAGGGAATAAATGTATCTCCACAATATCCTCTGCACTAAAGACCGATGTAAAGAAACCATTAGGTTTTTCTGCAGTGTCCTGATCCTCCTTAATTGTATCTTTTACACCCTAGCCATGCAGTAGACCCATAGATTCTCAATATTTCTTGCTTCTGATACTAACAGAACGTGTTACTTGTTTTTTCAGATCTTTGGCTATTCTTCAAATTTGTAGCCTCCTAATTTCCATTTTACCTACCATAGTTTCCTAGTAATTTAAAACCTTCTTTACAGAGGCTCTGAAGTTCCCCCTGTGTGGCTGGTCCTGTGCATGGAAGGAGAAGCTTTTCCATAAAAAGCTACTGTAGACATTGATGTGATTTGTCTAAAACTAGCTAGGAATAGCTAACCAATACCTGTGCTTGTTATGGTTAGTATATATCTATTAGATATTTGCTATAGTAAAATATGTTTACTCAAAGAGGTGCTCATTTGTATTTTATCCTAAGTGTCAGATTCTATGTGAATATTCATGCCCAACGTAAGTATTTAAATATATTCAAACAAGACTATGAAAATAAACCAATAGCTGAAATTTCCAAAGTGAAACTGTTGTGCTGCAAAGTTTCAATTTTAACCATAATCATTCAATGGTGAAGTAATATAACACTGACCTAGTACACCTCTACCCTGATATAATGCGGTCCGATATAACATGAATTCGGATATAACATGGTAAAGCAGTGCTCCGGGAAGCAGGGCTGCTTTACCTCGTTATATCCAAATTTATTTTACCGCAAGCGGTTCCTCTGCGCCCCCCCCCCCCCGCCCCCTTGATGCCCCAGCTCACCTCCACCTCCTCCCACGAGTGTGCCACCGCTCTCCTTCTCCCCCCTCCCTCCCCTCCCAGGCTTGCTGACCAAACAGCTGATTCGGGCAAGCCTTGGGGGGAGAGAGGAGAAGCAGAGCGGCTGAGGGAAGGAGGCGGAGGCAGAGGGGAGGTGAGCTGAGGTGCGGGGAGGGCCGCAGCAAGTAACTGGGGGGGGAGAGGGAGGGTGCAGAGGAACCACTCCCCGCCCCAGCTCACCTCTGCTCCACCTCCTCCCCTGAGCGCGCCGCCATCGCTCCGCTTCTCGCCCTCCCGCCCTTCCTTCGTTCCAGGCTTCCCGCACCAAACAGCTGACTGGCGCGGCAAGCCTGGAAGGGAGGGCGGGAGAAGCAGAGCAGTGGCAGCATGCTCGGGTGAGGAGGCGGAGGCAGAGCGGAGGTGAGCTGGGGCGAGGAGCAGTTCCTCTCCCTACCCCGACATATCGCGGTCTCACCTATAAGGCGGTAAGATTTTTTGGTTCCTGAGGACCACGTTACATCGGGGTAGAGGTGTATGTATATGCCACAAGATACACACATGCTTTTCTATGACTCTAATAGGGACAGTTTCTCAAATTTTAACACAATTATGGTCATGAGGGAGTGAGAGGAAAAATCTAAACAATACAAATGTGAATTAGATTTAGGAGTTGTTTAAGAAAACATTACTAGATGCACCACAAACCCCACAATTCCAGTGTCAATAAAGAATGATTCTTTGGTTTAAAAAAATCCTAATTAAGAAAGAGAGATGAAAGGAGCAGTAAAAAAAAAAATCATAATCAACAGAAAGGGAAAAATCAACAGGAAAAACTAAAAATTATCAGTTATTAAATACAGAGAGTTGACACGAAAAGTTAAAGGTATAAATGAAAAAAAGCTACCACCAATAGAATTAACAATAAGTAGTAATTTTTTAAATATTAGGAACAAAAGAAAGCCTAGCCCTGGTATCGGTCAGTTATTCAACAGGGATGGAAAAGCTGTTGATACAGAAGAGGCAGATGTAGTCAGTACGTTTCTGTTTTGCATTTGGAAAGAAGCCGGATGATGTATTCACAGCTTACACTGATAGTGAAACACTTGCCACTGAAAAATGTGACTACGGAGGGTGTTCAAAAGTATCTTGCATCCAGGAGGTTTAAAGTACTGGTTGATGCGCTCTGACCCGCTGATACTGATATTTAAGGAATCCTGGTGTACTGGGAGAGTTCCACAAGACTGAAAATGGCTGGAGTGCCAACATTTAAAAAAGGTAAATGGGAGGACCCAGGTAACCATAAGCCTTTTTAAGCAGATGCAACTTTAATTCTAACATTTAATTTCTGAGTCTCTGCAACCTTAGTGTTCTTTTAATATAGTTTGTGTATAATATATATCTAGGTTGCACCTGAAAACTAAATCAGGAAATTCAGATCAGGGCTTAGAAACTATCCTCAGCTATCCATACTTTGAAAGATTTCCTTGCCTTACAAGTGATCTTACTAAGCACGTCCTTAGGGATATAAAACGCACAGAGCTTTACTGTTACAGTAGTACTACACTTCCTGCTGTCGTCTATGGTCTTGTATTGTCCTGTTTCTTCTTTAGCTGACTATTCAGAGATAGCCCTGTCAAGCATTATGATTTACAAGAGATGTGTCTGTCTTGATGTGACATTATTAAAGCAGTGTCTTAAGGGAGTCTACTTGGAGGTAGCTGTTAGTAAGTGGGACTCTTACTACAGTGCCACACGCTTTTTGTGTCAGAGTCCCATCTACTAATACCTGACTTCAGAAGACAGAACAAATAAAGTGATGTGCTGGGTTTCTGACACATTTAGCAGAGGGGTTTAACAGACAAGCTACTTTTCCAAAGAAGTCCTTGACACTCATCTTTAACAAATAAGTGATACCAGGTGTGAGAAACGCTGTCAATTACAATTGACAGTGATTTTGAAGAGGTCTATCTCAAGAGTACTTAGTTTGCAAACAGACAAGCCACACCAGTGCCATACAACACTACCAGTTCAACTTTCATCCAGCAGTAGTGACCACTATCCAAAGAGAAAATCCTATATTCCATGACCCTATTAGGTCAGAAGATATTTGAGGCTATTTCAAAATACTCACGTATGAAACACCTGATGGATCAATCATGTAAAGCTGAGCACCATCATCCTCATCATAAGACCCTAACATGAAACTGAATAAAGAAAACGAGATATTAGAAGACAGGTTATGCACAGTGCTACAAAAATCACACTAAATTACAAAGATTAATTATACTGCCTTGATTTTTTTGCACACAATAGACAAGGTCTCATCATTGCTCTTGTAGTGAAATCGCCACTACATACTACCTTCCAACAAGTAACTCACCTTATCCTTTTGGGTAACCTCATCCCCAAAGTTGTCAGTATAATTTTGCTCGACCTATAGCTAAAGACCATCTTTCTTAAGTCACTGACTTACTGGTCCCTTGGATTGTCTTTTAAGATAGGCATCACTGTATTTACAATGCCTCACTTAGCTAAAGGGCCAGAGAAGCAAATTTTCAAATGACAATTTTGTTTTCTTGATTCCCATGGAAGTTACCAGCAGAAGTGTCTCAGTTTTAAAATTTAGGAATAATTAGATATTTTGCCTAGTAATCAAATGCATCTTTACACAGACATGTGAGCTCTTTACCTGAAGTCCTCCTCAATATTACTAATATAATTACACTTATTTTTAGGATATAGATAGATACACACGCACGAAGGCACAGATACACCAAGGTGAAAAATCACCTTATAAATACCCAAGATAGATTTATCTATTGTGCACTGAATAAAGATTCTCACAATCAAGCACAAGCATTTAAAAAACTTATACCTGCAGCCAAAAGGTCTGACAGCACTGTATAGTGTGTAGGCATGTACATACATGGCCACTCTGTCGGCAAGATGCTGGGGGGAAAAAAAAGGGGAGGAGTTTAGACCATTTAATTTAATGAAATAAACATGCCTCAAGTAAAACAATTCAAAACAGGCTACCTTCCTGTCATGGGATCTAAGGAAACCTAAAGAATGAATTTGTGCTAAAAGCACCAGTTACTTACCTTCAATGGAATATTATATCCATAGTTGGATCTAAAGTTAGAAGCTTCTTCTCTAGCTATGTCTGCCAAAGAACGAGCATCTGCCAGGAGTCCTGCTACTGCCTGAAATGAAGAGTATCACTGGCTAAAGTCAACACTCAGATAAATTACCAATATTTCTTGCAAGGTAATTGACAAACTTTAGACATCTAATTCTGTTACTGACAGGTTTCAGAGTAACAGCCGTGTTAGTCTGTATTCGCAAAAAGAAAAGGAGTACTTGTGGCACCTTAGAGACTAACCCATTTATTTGAGCATGAGCTATCGTGAGCATCCGATGAAGTGAGCTGTAGCTCACGAAAGCTCATGCTCAAATAAATGGGTTAGTCTCTAAGGTGCCACAAGTCCTCCTTTTCTTTTTGCGAATTCTGTTACTGTGACTTAAACAAGTTTTTACTGCACCATACATATGCCCTTTCAAAACTGACCAAACCAGAATTTACACCTGTCAACAAGCTGAAAAAAACACCAATGAAGTATCAAACCTTTTCAAAATTATTCAATAAACACATAATTGATGTATTATTGTAAATCACATAAAATAAAGGTATACTCTTAAGATCCAACTTCTATGTAAGCTGTAAGGTTAATGTAAAATAAACAAAAAGCATGAGAACAGGGAAAAAACAGACAAGCACCCCTAACAGTACATATTTTTCCCCCTGGATTTTAAGACTTCTTGAACTGCAAGAACAGTCGTGACAGCATTACAGTTCTGCTGACAGCATTACAGTTGCTGGAGCAATCTTCTTACTCCCCATGACTAGTGGTGCAGCTTCAAGCAGTTTTACTAGCATGGTTCCCATCTGATGTTTAGGGGCCTACCAAATTCACAGCCGTGAAAAATGCATCACTGACTGAAATCTGGTCTCCACCATGAAATCTGGTCTTTTGTGTACTTTTACCCTATACTATAAAGATTTCACTGGTAAACCAGTGTTTCTCAAACTGAGGGTCCCAATAAATAAAGGGGGGGTGGAGGGGAAGGAAATATTGCCACCCTTACTTCTGTGCTACCTTCAGAGATGGATGGCCGGAGAGTGGTGGCTGCTGGCCAGGTGCCCAGCTCTGAAGGCAGTGCCCACCAGCAGCAGCGCAGAAGTAAGGGTGGCAATACCATACCATGCCACCCTTACTTCTACGCTGCTGCCTTCAGAGTTAGGTCAGGACACCTACAGTTACAACACTGAAATTTCAGATTTAAATATCTGAATTTATGAAATTTACGATTTTTAAACTCCTATGACCGTGAAATTGACCAAAATGGACCGTGAATTTGGTAGAGCCCTACTGACGTTACTAACATTACTACTGGGGACAGGTCATTAGCCCTTGATATCTGGTCTCTTTATACCAGCGATTATAGCAACCGGCTCCTTCCTTCCCATGCCCCTTTCAAAAGAAGGTGAGAATATCTTATATGTTAGTACTGTTGTCGTGTGTTTTGCTATTCTTAGAAAATGTGTTTTATGATATGGGTAACAAGAGGCTGCTTTCTTAATATTTAGTTTATGCATATTCCTGCTCTAATTGGAGCATCTGTTTTAATGTACGGAGAAAGAAACCAGAGAAAGTTAACTCTAGAATGAGTAAATATCATAGATCAGCCTCGCATTTTACTGTAAGATTTTGCTTGTATGTGAACAGGTTTATACACATACCCACAAACAGAACTAGAAGTGCATACACAGAATTGAGAATCAGATTTGTCTAAATGTCCCTTGACGGTTCTCTGACTACAAGTTTAGAAGTATTGGGATACAGTACTTCAAAAGCTATTTAATATTGGCTGTATTTATGCAATGGACTATCCATTTTCTGTGACGTTTTCCTAATTCATAGGATAAAAGCAAAAAGTGTTGCAGCACCTCACCATTCCAACATGTCGATCAACATTAAAGAGACGTTTATTGGAACCTTCTTCATAAAGCTTGGACAAGACTAGTTTTTCTACTCCAAAGACAACACCATCTTTACATCTTATGCCAATTGCTGTACTGAAAGACAAGTCAAATATAAGAATGAGATTTTTTTTTAAAAAAATAATACACTAAACAGCTAGGAGTGGGGTTGGAAAGTTATTTTACCATTTCTTTATCAAAGTTAAGTGGGTGCAGGACTGAAGTACAAGACAGCTTAATTTAAAGTGAGGTAGATCTGCTCCATGGTTTCATTGCTTCTTTGAAGATGGGGAGGAAGAGAGTAAGACCCACTGAAGTTACCCAGTGTTTCTATAAGAAAGCAGCACAGCATTTCCCTCTTTCCCATCCTACCCAAGGAAGTTTTCGCACACACGCTGTACATCTAGAACTAAATAGTTTGAGGGACATGGTGGGTGGGGAGCAGTTCTCCCTTCAAACCTGCACGTTTCCTATAGTTTTGAAGTGGAAGCATTTACATGGTTATGTTATTTTACTTCCATCCTCCCCTCCCCCAATCAGCACATAATCATAAAAATAGGAACAACTCCTGAGAGGGCCCAGGCAGTGGCACACATATCTCAGGAATCTCTTGTCATCACTAAGTTGGGAGGGCCATGGCCCCTACCTACTCCATAAGGCAGAGGTTCTCAAATTGGGGAGCGCAGAATGAATTCTGGGGTGGCATGACAAGCAGCTCTGCCTTCCGAGCTGGAATCCAGAGAGTAGCGGCTGCTGGCCACGCATCCAGCTCTGAAGGCAGCACCGCCACCAGCAGAGAAGTAAGGGCGGCAATGGCAGACCATGCCACCATTACTTCACTGCTGCTGGAGGCAGCGTTGCCTTCAGAGCTGGGTACCCGGCCAGCAGCCACCGCGCTCCACTCTGCCTTCAGAGTTGAGTGGCCATAGATGTATTTGTGTGGCGAGAGCAGGAGTTGTAAACTACTACAGAGAAGGGGGGAGGGGCTCGATCAAATAAGTTTGAGAACCACTGCCATAAAGTACAACACAGACAAGTTCCCTCTTCCCTCCATGGGGCTAAATCATGTCCTCTAAAATGCCTAACATGAAAATATCTAGACATATCAAAAAGTCTCACTGACCAAGTGAATAAAGAAGAGAAGATAAATCACTAGAACATGCACTTCAGTGAAATTAAATAGTTCTTAAATATGCATCCAAAACTATTTTGTACTAATGCTCACTATGATATGGACCAATTGGTAAGATTTATGGACCATTCCACAATTACTTTTAGTAATTAGTAATACCAATTACTTTTAGGATGGTATTATAGATGGTAACAGATCTTTAAAAGCATTTGATGAAGTCACTGAAAGGGTGATATACTCCCAAGATATTAGATATTCATACTAGCTGGAGTACCACACAGATTTATTTTGAACTATGTTATTTCTATTGCAATAGTATCCAGAGACCTGGATCAAGACCAGTTGCTGTACAAATATAGGATGACCCAATCCATATCTCAAAGCACTTTATCTGTATTTACTAGTCAATACATCCAGATTGTGCTACAACACAATAGAGTATTTATGTTTTTATAGCTGCCACCTGGTATATGCCTGAAGGAACATATGTAGTCTTAGGGAGGCGAACACTGTAGTTTTAGCCAAACCATAATTCTTTAAGAAACTGGCAACAGCTAGTGAGGCTACTACAAACCTATGTGGTCCTGAGCAAGTTACTTGACTTCTCAGTGCCTCAATTCACCATCTCTAAAATGGCCCTTTTGGTATTACCATAATAGATGAGCACCTTACATATCTTAAGGACCTACGCAATCAGCTTTTGCCCCAAAGTACGAGATTTTATTACACTTAGCACACATGAATAATTTACTACCTTCCTTTGCAGTCTCTCAAGCCATGCCTTTATAATTTTTGTTACTCCAAACTGTAGAACAAATAAGGATGACTACACTCCCTTTATATTTAATGTGAAGAGCTTCCCGAGAGGAATACAGTCACAAAATTGGCTAATCACTTATTTCAGGAGTACAATTTTCTTTGCAATACCATCTTAACTACTTGCCCTAATCACATTTCTCTTGTCATTTTTAAAGAAACAGGTGAAGTAAAAAACAAAGACATTTCTCTTACCTACTATTCTCCACAGCTTTCATAGCATATTCAACTTGAAATACTCTGCCATCTGGAGAGAATGTGGAAGCTGACAGGTCATACTGTAAAGGAAGAAAAAAACACTACTCAGCATAAAACAAGTTACAAATAGAGCCCACATAGCAGTAGTGCTAAGCTATTTTTCTATGCAAAGTCTTAAAGTGAGTCTCCGGAGAAAATCTGTATAAGAACATAAGAACGGCCATACTGGGTCAGACCAAAGGTCCATCTAGCCCACTATCCTGTCTTCCGACAGGGGCCAATGCCAGGTGCCCCAGAGGAAATAAACAGAATAGGTAATCATCAAGTGATCCATCCTGTCACGCATTCCCAGCTTCCGGCAAACAGAGACTAGGGACACCATCTCTGCCCATCCTGGCTAATAGCCATTGATGGACCTATCCTCCATGAACTTATCCAGTTCTTTTTTGAACCCTGTTATAGTCTTGGCCTTCACGACATCCTCTGGCAAGGAGTTTCACAGGTTGACTGTGCACTGTGTGGAAAAAATACTTCCTTGTGTTTGTTTTAAACCTGCTGCCTATTAATTTCATTTGGTGACCCCTACTTCTTGTATTACGAGAAGTAAATAACACTTCCTTATTTACTTTCTCCACACCAGTCATGATTTTATAGATGTCTATCATATCCCCCCTTATTCGTCTCTTTTCCAAGCAAAAAAATCCCAGTCTTACTAATCTCTCTTCATATGGAAGCCGTTCCATACCCCTAATAATTTTTGTTGCCCTCTTCTAAACCTTTTCCAAATACCAATATATTTTTTGAGATGGGGCGACTACATCAGCACACGGTATTCAAGATGTGGGCGTACCATGGATTTACAGAAGCAATATGATATTTTCTGTCTTATTATCTATCCCTTTCTTAATGATTCCCAACATTCTGTTCGCCTTTTTGACTGCTGCTGCACATTAAGTGTGTTTTCAGAGAACTATCCACAATGACTCCAAGTTCACTCTCGAGTGGTAACAGCTAATTTAGACCCCATCATTTTATATGTATAGTTGGGATTATGTTTTCCAATGTGCATTACTTTACATTTATCAATACTGAATTTCATCTGCCATTTTGTTGCCCAGTCACCCACTTTTGTAAGATCCTTTCGTAGCTCTTTGCAGTCTGCTTGGGATGTAACTATCTTGAGTAGTTTTGTATCATCTGCAAATTTTGCCACCTCACTGTTTACCCCTTTTCCCAGATAATTTATGAATATGTTGAATAGGACTGGTCCCAATCCAGGCCCCGGGGACACACACCACTATTTACCTCTCTCCATTCTGAAAACTGACCATTTTATCCTAACATGTAAGAATGGTTCACTCATGTTGATATTTATTTCATGTGAATAAAGGAAGCAATACTTTTTAAAAAAGATTCAGACAGTTTCCTTTTAGTGAAAGTATATAAACTGAAAGTAAATTAGTAAACTCAATGTTGGTTAGCTTAGTTTTTAAAAAAGCTCTTGCTTCAGTGATATTCATTCCATAATTCAAACCCATTGAGGAATCTCAAATTCCAAACAATGGCAATTAGTAATTAGTAACAATTAGTAAGGCTTCACAGACAGACACTTATCGTATGGTTAATACTATTTTTTAGTACATTGTGACTTATTTTGATACTTAGAATAGCATTAGTACTTTTCTCTTCCACTTTGCTTTCCGTATGAGAATCTCAAAGCACTTCTCACACTTTAACATTTAAGCCTTTCCACAAACCGGGGCTTCATCTCTGGTACCTAGGCAATGTGTACAGGAGATGGTGGGAGAGGTCATTGGGCATTTGAGTGATGTTGGTCTACAGTGCTGCCTGCTGGCCAAACTGGTATAACACGAGCTCTGATTATAACTGTATTATTCTTAGTCCAAGGAAATTTAGGATATATCTACACCCACCTCCCCTCACCACATTTCACAGCATAGGTGGTAACATCTACACTGCTATTTTTAGCCCCATATCATGAGTCCCACAAGCCCAAGTCAGTTGACCCAGGCTCTGAAACTCATTGCCATAGTTGTGGAACCCCTAGTCATCTCAGTAGTGTGGAGTTTGTGCATGCCTGGTGCAGCGAGGGGCAGAAGAATAAAGAAGTAGCTGTTTCATGAAAGCACCCAACTACTATGAATATGCAAGTTTGACCCAGACCATCCCTTGTTCCCAGAAAAGAGTTTTCAGGTCTGATTCATTCTTAATGAACTGGGAACTGCCAACAAGTGACAGATCATCTTTTTAGTACTTCTCACTGTAGGCTAGATCTACACAAGCACTTTTGCCGGTAAAACTTTTGTCCATCGGGGGTGTAAAAAAACCCACACCCCGACTGACATAAGTTTCACCAACAAAAGCGCTGGTGAAGACATTGCTAAGTCAGCGGGAGAGGCTCTCCCGCAGACATAGCTACCACGGCTCTTTGTGGGTGGTTTAATTATCCCAACAGGAAAGCTCTCTCCCATCAGCATAGAGCGGCTACAGCTGTGCCGCTGTAAGGTCTGTAGAGTACCAGCATGTCTCAAATGCGACCACCAGGGTTTTCTCTTGCAACCACAACCGTCCAGGTGGTGATGGTGGGGGAGGGGAGGAGTTGCCCCTCCCCTGGGGCCACCAGCAGGGATTGGTCCCAGCCCCCCTTCTGAAGCCACAAACACTGTAGGAGCAGGCGACCAGTGTGAGTTCCCCACCTTCCCAGGGGCAGTGAGGATCGGGCTTTGGGCTTCAGCCCTGGGGTGGTGGGCAGCAGGCTCTGGCCATGCAGCAGCAGGCTTCATTCCCCAGTTGCAGTACTTCATGCTCTGGCCCTGGGCACATTCCCCCACATCACTCCTGATCCCTGCCGCCTCTTCCAGCCCCCAGCCGTGCAGCAGGACCCCAGGATCCAGCCCTGGACTCACCCCTCCATTGCCCCAACCCCCGCTACCTCTTTCAGCCCCCCATCGCTCCTGGACCTCCTTACCCACCTTCCCATCCAGGGTTTAATTTGTTCTCCAGCTTGCTGGGGATGAGTAAGTCTGCTGTGAAAAGCGATATTAACAAATATACAAATATCACTTTTCACAGCAGCAGACTAACTAGATAGCAAATTTATTTTAAAAAAATTCAACCAAAAAAAGCAAAACACGCAAAGCACCTTATTTGTGTTTCTATTCTGTTTAGATCCAGTAAAGATTAGAGACAACTGTACATTACTTTTATTACTGAGTCTGGAAAAAAACCCTACATAAATAAATTACAATGATTTGGGCATGTATATGTGCGTATTTATTTGTTTTTCCTAAAATTAATTAAGTATTTTTGGAAAAACTGTAAGAGCGGCCACCAGCGGTGGCTGCTCTCTGAGGCCACCGATAAATCTGCTGTGAGAACTCCCAGACATAGCCATGCCTTTGTCTCATGTACTGCATTAGCCTGAGTCAGAGTGGCAGAGGCCCTTGTCAAGCAACAGTTAAGTCTGCATATTCACAGAAAACAGCATCCCCCATAAGTTAAATGGCACGTTCCCAGCCACAGCCGCCCCAGTTCATTAACATGCATCTGAACATGGAGGGGGGCATTCTGAATCTCTCCCTGTAGATGGGGCACCCCCTTTTCAAACACAGCAGCGACTGGAGAAGGGAGCATCGTGGGGCTGAGCACATCCACGGGGCTGAGAAGAGTACATCGGTGCCCTGGGGCTGGACGGAGAGCCCCCACTGCTCCACCACCCCCATCCCTCCTCCTAGAGCCCAACCTCCCCCCAGCACCTATTCACCCCACTTCCTATAGCCCCACACACTCCTCCTCCCAGGGCACCACCCATCCAGACCCAATCTCCCCAGAGCCCCCCCCACTCTCCCCACCCCTTAGAGCCCATCCTCCCCACCGTCTAGACAGACCCCCCCCCCCACGCCCTAGAGCAGTGACTTTGGGCTATTAATGCAGTAGAAATTTGGCAGCCTGCTCCGCTGAGGGTTGCCACAGATCTGCCCGACAGCGCAGTGGGACCAGGGGCTCCGCACCCTTGGAGAGGGGCTGCTGCAGCCCCAACCCGGGCTGAAGCCCTGACATTTTAAAAACACGTTGGGGACAGGCCTCAAGGGGGAAAATTGAGAACCCCTTGGCCTAGAGCCCCACGCCCCTTCCCCTGGAGCCCCTGGCTCCCCCCCCCCCAGCCAGAGCCCCACGCCCCTTCCCCTGGAGCCCCTGGCTCCCCCCCCAGCAGAGCCCCACGCCCCTTCCCCTGGAGCCCCTGCCCCCCCCCACACCCCCCTTCCCCCCCCTCCCCCCCCCCCCCCCCCCCAGCCAGAGCCCCACGCCCCTTCCCCTGGAGCCCCTGGCTCCCCCCCCCAGCCAGAGCCCCACGCCCCTTCCCCTGGAGCCCCTGCCCTTCTCCCCCCCCCCCCCCCCCAGCCAGAGCCCCACGCCCCTTCCCCGGAGCCCTGGCTCCCCCCCACCAGCCAGAGCCCCACGCCCCTTCCCCTGGAGCCCCTGGCTCCCCCCCCCAGCCAGAGCCCCACGCCCCTTCCCCGGAGCCCCTGGCTCCCCCCCCCCCCAGCAGCCCCTGGCTCCCCCCCCCAGCCAGAGCCCCACGCCCCTTCCCCTGGAGCCCCTGGCTCCCCCCCCCCAGCCAGAGCCCCACGCCCCTTCCCCTGGAGCCCCTGGCTCCCCCCCCCCCCCAGCCAGAGCCCCACCCCCTTCCCCTGGAGCCCCTGGCTCTCCCCCCCCAGCCAGAGCCCCACGCCCCTTCCCCGGAGCCCCTGGCTCCCCCCCAGCAGCCCCTGGCTCCCCCCCCAGCAGCCCCTGGCTCCCCCCAGCCAGAGCCCCGCGCCCTGTGGCCCCTCCCCCCGCTTACACTTTCGCTTTCCCACCAGCCGCGCGGGGCCGAGGTGACTCAGCAGTACCGCCTCCTCCCCCGGTCCCGTGAGGGGGGGCTCAAGCTCCCCCCCCCGCGCAGGCGCAGCGGCGGCCCGGCCGAGCCCCGCGAGGAGACTCACTCACCCCGGTGCCGATGGAGCTCATGGCGGCAGAGCCGTGGGGAGAGCGAGCGCCCGACAGACCCGATACACACACGCGCGCGCACACACCGCTCACGCGCCCCAGGCCTCACCAACGCACATTCCCATTGGCCCGCTGCACACCGGCCAATCAGCTCCCGCGGTGGGGTCCTAGGTGAACGTGCGCGTCCGCAGAGCAGGCCCCGTCATGGCCGCGGGGGCGCGCCCGGCCCGACACTGGAGGGAACCCACAGGAGGTGACTCGAAAGGGGAGGAGTCTCCAAAACAGAATTAATCAACTAGTTGTGCGCATGCTCCAAACTATGTTTCGAATAGTCACTGAAGGAAATCTGTACCGCAGCGCCCGGCTAGCTCAGTCGGTAGAGCATGGGACTCTTAATCCCAGGGTCGTGGGTTCGAGCCCCACGTTGGGCGAAGAGAATTTTGCTCTTGTACCTGCAGTTACCATAGCAGGTTTTCTGCACTTTTGCCCCGAACAACGAGGGGGGCAGCGCAGTTTGCCGATGAAGGAGCCTGGCTGGGTCATTAGCCTTGCAAAGCGGGACAGCTCAGTGGGGCTGTGGTGGGCCCAGCTGGGGAGGGGCAGGGCCACCTGGGAACCAATCCCCAGGCACCCTCCAGTACAGGAAAGGCTGCAGCAGCCCCTCTCCAAGGGTGCGGAGCCCCTGGTCCCACTGCGCTGTCGGGCAGATCTGTGGCAACCCTCAGCGGAGCAGGCTGCCAAATTTCTACTGCATTAATAGCCCAAAGTCACTTAAAACTAGCCCCAAAATAGCCCAGTGCTGGTAACTCAGTCAAAGCTGGGGGTCATTTTTTTCTGAAACCCTTAAGAACATAAGAACGGCCGCACTGGGTCAGACCAAAGGTCCATCTAGGCCAGTATCCTGTCTTCCGACAGTGGCCAATGCCAGGTGCCCCAGAGGGAATGAACAGAACAGGTCAGTATCCCCGATAATGTCAGGGCTAACCTGGTGCCTGACCTTTGTGACTTTGTCCTCACCCACAACTATTTCACATTTGGGGACAATGTGTACCTTCAAATCAGCGGCACTGCTATGGGTACCCGCATGGCCCCACAGTATGCCAACATTTTTGTGGCTGACTTAGAACAGCCCATCCCCTGTCGTACATTCCCAGCTTTTGGCAAAAAAAAAAACCCTTTGGTATTTAAGCTGTGACTAACATCAAACATATTGGGGCAGCTCTTTAACCCATTAGCAGCTGTATGATTGTGTGTTACTGGCAAACGGTCCTGTTCCACCAACAGCCGACTCAATGTGTGTCCCTGAGGCTGGTTTATTAGTATAAAAGGCTGGTTGTAGAATCAGAGGCTCCCCTGACACTTCTGAGAACACATTGCTTTGGGGGGAATTTCGCACCAAACAATTACAAATTCTACGCACTATATTTTGAAATTCTGCTAAATTCTGCATATTTTATTTGTCAAAAACACCATACAATCACCCCAGTTTCAATTATTTCGGTAATTTATTTCAAAATATCTGTCAGCAAGTGTGTCTGTAACAATACAGACAACAAAAAAAGATTCAGGAAATGTTTTTTGACAAATAGATTTCTTACTAGGCATATGAATATAGACCGCTGAGTAATAATTCAATAATTCCGGGTCCCGGTGCTGCTTGGGGGAGGGGGCGGAAGCCGCAAAGAGGCAGGGCGGAGGCTTGGGGGAAGGGGTGGAATGCTGGTGGGGAGGGGGCAGAGTAGGGCTGGGTCGCTTGCTGCTGCCGGCGCCAGGCTCCTCACTCGCCCCCCCAGACCGCCCTGGACCCACAGCCATCCTGTCCATAGAACGGACCAGGGCAACTGCCCCAGACCCCAAGCTTTGGGGGGCCCTGCACTTCAGGGGGATGCAGTTGCCCCAGTTTGTCCTATGGACAGGATGGTTCTGGGTCCAGGGCGGTCTGGGTGGGTAGTGGGGAGCCTGGCCCTAGCAGCAGTGAGCGACCCAGCCCAGCCTGCCCCTACACCGCCCCCTCCTCACCCCTATTCCACCCCTTCCCCCAAGCCTCCGCTCCGCCTCTTTCCATCTTCTTCCCCCTCCCCCAGGCGATGCTGGGAGCCGGCACGGTGAGGCGGGGCAGGGTGGGCTGGGGCTGGGTCACTCACTGCTGCCGGCGCTAGGCCCCCTGCCATCCCCGCGGCTGCCCTGGTCCCCACATCCCCCTGAAGCGCAGGGACCCCCAAAGCACAGTAAGCCCAAACACCGGTGGAGCCAGGCCCACATTCCTAAATATTGGTGGAGCACAGGCACCACCAGCCCATATAACTCGCCACCTATGGCTGTTACCACTCAAGGAAGAGATCCTGGAGTCATTGCAGATAGTTCTGTGAAACTTCCATTCAATATGCAGCGGCGTCAAAAAAGCAAACAGAATGTTAGGAACCATTGTGAAAGGGATAGATAATAAGACAGAAAATATCATAATGCCTCTATATAAATCGATGGTACCTCCACATCTTGAATACTGTGTACAGATCTGGTCACCCCATCTTAAAAAAGATATATTAGAATTGGAAAAGGTACGGGGAATGTCACCAAAAATAATTAGGGGTATGGAACAGCTTCCGTATGAGAAGAGATTAAAAAGACTGGGATTTTTCAGCTCGGAAAAGAGACAATTAAAGGGGATATGATAGAGGTCTATAAAATCTTGACTAGTGTGGAGAAAGTAAATAAGGAAGTTTTGTTTACTCCTTTATATAACACAGGAACCAGGGTCACCCAATGGAATTAATAGGCAGCAGGTTTAAAACAAACAAAAGGAAGTATTTCTTCACACAATGCACAGTCAACCTGTGGAAACCTCTTTGCCAAGGGATGTTGTGAAGGCTAAAACTATAACAGGGTTCAAAAAGAAAAGGAGGACTTGTGGCACCTTAGAGACTAACCAATTTATTTGAGCATAAGCTTTCGTGAGCTACAGCTCACTTCATCGGATGCATCTGTTTGCCAGAAGCTGGGAGTGGATGACAAGGGATGGATCACTCGATGACTGGCTTTTCTGTTCATTCCCTCTGAAGCACCTGGCATTGGCCACTGTCAAAAGACAGGATACTGGGCTAGATGGACCATTGATTTGACCCAGTATGGCTGTTCTTATGTTCTAATCCAGTTAGAACCAGTCTACTCAAGCCTCTCCATGTGGTTGTAGTTCTCTGGAGGTGTCACAACTAGACTGAATTTGCCTAATCAACACCTTCTCCCCCATTCTTAGCTCCTGGAGGGCTATGGTCACCTTTCTCCATGGAATCACAGACAACCTCCTGGTTCACAATGATACATAAACTTAATACAGTAAGATCTCTCAAAGATATTTCAGGAGGTTGCCATTATGTCACATTATGCACCATGCATAATGTTCGTAGGGCAGGGCTGAGGTCATCCGTGTAGGTGGGAGTGCAAACCTGTGTTCACCTCATGGCGAGAATGGAGTGACTCTCCTCCGCCTCCCATCCAAATGGCATGATTTGGAGAAGACCCCACCGGGAGACCTGTGGGACTTTCCCTGCCTCCTGAAACCCACATACTTTACAGATAGGTGGCATAACGGTTTTATCAGCATGAGTTTGAGATGGGTTCATTACATACAAGTGAGTTATGCACAGCATCTCAAATTAGGGCTGATCAAACCCCTACAGTGTACCACAGCACCCTGTATTCTGTGCACACAACAGAAACATCTCATTTAGAATATTTTTTTATTTTGAATTGGTTGATCCTGGGTTGAACCTGTTGGGTACTTTCCTGTAGGATAAGTATACAATTAAAGAATTAAAGTTAGCTTAAGGAAGTATATATGTGTACTTGACTAGCAAGTAGAAGGAAGACCTTGAAAATAATAAGTGATAAGGCCAGACGGAATAAAGTAGGGAGGATGTCTAATTCAAAGGGGAGTTAATGTGGAGGTCTAAAAAAGGAGGCCTCTGACCAATAAGGGTGATTGCAGATGATTTTAAATAAAACAAAGAGAATTTGTCTTAAAATGAGTCAACACAGCCATTTTCCAACTCACACAGCAGTGTTATAGACTATGTGAACCCAGGGGCAGTGGGAAACTGTTGGACCACAAGAAGAGGGGAGGAAAGGCCTTGGGAAGAAAGGAGGTTATAAATCTTATCTGGATTAAGACTGGAAATAAGGGTGAACTGTCTGCATCTGGTTTTAGCTCAAGTCAGTACTTGGCAATGACATCCCTTGTTTGTTAAAAGGGTATAAAAAGTAAACTCTTAAAGGGTTCATTGTTAATACCTGCCTGACCACTTTGAAGCTGACCAATAAGGGTCTAAGCATCCCTGGCTTTAGCCCATTTGTAAGTATCTTGACCAAATGCTTATAAATGTTTTGTTACTGTTTGGATGTAGTAAATGGCTTATTATTTAGGCTTTTTAGGCATGTGTTAGAGCAATTGTATAAGTACCATTTGGCCTTTGGACTGAATTTATGGTTAAATTAGTGTTTGGTGGTTTCCCATATTCAGATTAATAATTTAAAATATTAACAATTCCAACACTTCCCTCCACACCAACTGAGCTAGGGGAGAAAGATAGAGCTAGGGGATGGCACAGAGTTACCTACTTCGGCCGCCTCCATAATCCCTAGGGTACAGGAAAAATAAATTCCTCCTGAGGGCAAACAGGGCCAGTCTCAGGTGAAAGAGCCAGAAGTTGCATTAGAGCAGGAGCAGCTGGCTGTGGAAGGAAGGGTGGCCCGCTGGAATCCTGGGCATTGAGATGGAAAGGCTGAGAACCACCCTTCTTCTCGCAGAGGGCCAGCAGTAGCCAGAGCAGGGGGGGATGCCAGGTAGCAGCCTGCAGTCAGGAAGACGATGCGGAGGGGTTACAATGAGCCACGGTTACCCTTATAATCTTCTGCTGAACTGCCCTTACAGGCTGGGTTAAGAACTGTTGGGTGACTTTTGTGATAAGAAGTACTGCCATCCCCAAACGTTCAAAAATCATGAGTAAGGTTAAGATTCTCTCACGGCTTTTTTTAGTAAAAGTCAGGGACTGATCATGGGCAATAAACAAAAATTCACAGAAGCCTGCAACTTTTTGTCCCTGACTTTTACTAAAAATAACCTGGGGT